CAAAACAAAACCAAAAAAAACCAAAAAACAAACCAACAAGATAAAGAAACCAACCCTGTCACAGGAACAGTGATTCCTGCAGGATCTTTTCCTCACACTGTTTCTAGGAGCCGGGCCCTCGGCAGTCCCCGAGGCGGCAGTCAAGGCAAACGGCATGGTCCTGGCACCAGAACGGCACACGGGTTTTTGGCCAGGAAGCAGCAGATAGGTACAGGGAAGTAACACGGGAATAAAACTGAAACACGCCATGGTTTGCTAGAAACACGCCCCTTTTTTGAGAGGTATGCTTGGTTCCGTAACCAGCTGTAACAGCTTCTTTCTTTTCTGCCAAAAGCCCTCAGTATGTTGATAACTAAATTTGGGGCAACACATAGACGAGCTGCATTTAGTACTGAAGCAACCGAGCTCCCTAGGCTAACGAAGCATTGGTTCAATCAGAAGCCCTAAAAAATTTTAAGGGCATTAGAGCCTACCTATACTAATTAGAAACTACGTCAGCACACAGTAGCTAACACTTTTCAAACAGAAGCTGTTCACTTATTTGTTTAAGAAAAACATCTCGGATCACCTTGATAAAGACAGTCCTGAACGAGATCCTAACAGTGGGCTACTGGGAGCAAGACTCAACTGAGGCTGTTCTTTTCTTACGTGTCATGTTGAAAGTCTTATTCGAGTTTTAAATCATGTTCTTCTGAAACAAAAATCTGTTGTGAATTAAGATTAAAAGTTATACTTTTATGAAATTCAAGTTTCAAATAAGTCATATTTTAACTTAATCTAGTTAGTGCCTAAGATGTTAATATGATCCTGATTAACTATTAGATTTCAATTTCCTGACAGTTTTAAGGAGTGCAGTTCTAGGCTTCCAATACTTAACTATTTTCTCTTCAGAGCCCTTGGTATTTACACTTTTTTTGGGCCAGGAAAGTTAAGCTTCCCTGAATTTAGCTGAGGATAAGTGTAACAAAAGTATTTGAAGGACTCTTTCTCAAATAAGCTACTTTCTAGACCTCCGGGCTGGCACATTCTCACTACAGCTAGGTCGTTAATAGATATAGCCTTCATTATTTCAGTTGTTTGAGTACAAATAGTTGTTTGAGTACAAACAGTTGTTTGAGTACAATAGCCTTTCATTATTTCAGTTGTTTGAGTACAATCTAACAAACATCTGCTTTAGAAGTGACTGTCAGTCATCAGCCTTTCGACATTAACGTAAGTGGTTGCTCTGTATAATCAGACATAACTATTATTCACAACATACTTTTGATTAATTCTCTCCTATTCAGATCATGGATGTTAACACTGCTGAAGGACTGAGCTGCACCTTGACCACATTCCATTGCACTTTCTCCCATGTTTTGGTTCTTGGCATTATTTTTACGCTGTTTAAAAGAAATTTGAGAAGCCTCAAAGCTTATACATACCCAGTTTACTCTCCTGTTACACTACTTGAGGCAGTCTTAATTTCTTCTGATGACCCAATTGAGGTCCTTTATTTTTAGCATTTCTTTACTGAACAGCTGCTACCTTTTTTCTAGGACCTTTTCTCATCATCCAGGTATTCTCTCCTTCACTTGGGGACTTTTTCTCATCCTGGTCCAAACAATGTTTGTGTGTACATATATTTTTTTTTTTTTAAAGTCAGATGAAGACCGAGGCAAAGCTACTGAAACTAGTAGTTTTTTGCACTGTCCTTTGGCCATCAAGCCTCAGATGAATGAGGCTTTACCTATATTTTAAGCACATTGAGTTAAAAAACCAAACCAAAAAAAAAAACAGGTGGGAAAATTCCAGCTCACCAAGCTGGCAGCTACTTTCTGCAGCTGATAAAATTCCTCTGCTGCAACGCTACGAATGGCTGAAGCATCCCTTGTCAAAACAGGCATGCTCAGTGCAAAAGGACTGCAGGAAGACAGGACAAGATCAGAAACCTGCAATAACGAAAGACTATTCCTGTTTTAGTGACTACATTTTGGCTAGACTTGTAGTTCCAGGTTAAGGTCCTTTTGAACCACCTTTACTGAAAGCATGACACGTCACTGATGAAGACAGCAAACAACTCAGTACAACTTTTCTTTTTCCTTTTCTTTTGAAGATTCCAATTCTGTTTAAGCATCTAGTTATTCAGGGATTTAAACTAATACCAACTCTGTTAAAGGAACCAGAAATGAGCTTTGCTTGCAGTCTACTTCCCACTATCATGTTTATCAAGGCCCTCTCAGACGTGTACAAGAAACAGACTGAAGATTGGATAAATTTTGCTTGGAAGCCGGTCTCTGCCATTTGCTTTCTTGAGGATCCTGCAGCTCTATCGTATTACAACCATGATGCGTGATCAAACTACAATACCACTCCATCACATCAGGTATCTCTGGTCACCTAAGGGGTAGAGCTTCATCAAGTCAGTCTGAGCAGCAGTTTTTACAAGCTGCTGAACAGCTTTGCTTACACAGGGGAGGGGAAAAACAAACAAACCAACCAATCACACCCATCAGCTAAGTCACATAACTTCCAAAGACAGAAAAATAAAAATCAAACCCTTTATTTCTTTTTACAAAAATACATATTTGCAGTCATGTGATAGTTATCATAGCTGTTACCAGTTTACATGGTTTCAAGAAACTATATAGTGCTCCAGGTTAAATATTTAAGATAATTTAGTATAAGAATGGCCACTTACTAATTTCTGGATTAGAAATGCTATTCATCAGGATGTGCAAAAAAGCTTTGTAAGTTAGAAATTAATGCTGAAGTGGTGTATTTTAAGTAATATAATACATACATTAAACTTTTGGTCATGAGTAATTGTATACAAACCGTAACAGTATTAAAATACATATTTTCATAAAAATACCATTGTGACACTTTATATCTAAATAAGACATTTTTAGAAAGATGGTATGAAATATTTTATCATACAAAAGCATATTCTTATACCACGATTATGTCGTAGGTTTTTAAAAATTCTATCCAAGCACTTAAAAGCAAATTTTTTTATAACTGTGATGCGCTTGTCATATAAAAGTATATGCTGTGTGTATAGCATCAAGTTTATTCTACTTGAAACTGGTCAAGGTACAACACTGCACATAGAGCAGCTGAGTTCTTATATACCACCGAAACTGGTTCAAGACAACAAACATCACATTCTTGTTGCGTAATATGCAAGAGGAAATTACTCTTTATGCATGTCTGCTATATGCATATTCTGAGAATAATTTCATGCTACAATTTTTTGCCACAGTTTGACCTTTCCATTGGGTTTTTTCAGCTGAAGGCAACATCATCTCCCTCCCACCCCATTACCTCCTCAAATGCCCTACTGGTGTAAGTAACAAAAAATAAATAATTTGTAACAGGAGCTCACTGCTATCATCTCCAACTGAAACTGACTCTGTTACCAGCTAACTCTACTGAAATCTCTGATTTTAAAATCCGTATTAGAACACCACTTTGTTTATTTCCTGTGATGAATACTGCATACTTCATTTACACTAGTGATCCACTTTAAACTGCAGACATTCAGGATTTAAAACCACCAATTAGTATACAATTACTTTATATTTAAGGCATGTGAGTAAGAGCACCCTAATTAACTGAATGGAAGAGACTTCTCTTCAGGAAATCTGTGTCAGCAGCCTTCTCTTCTTTAAAGATGCTAAATTAACATGGTTTTGGAAGGAGGAGAAAGGAAGAAAGTTAAGAACCAATCTGATTATTTCAGCTGTCCCTGACATGGTTTTGAAAACAATGATTTACCAGTAAAATACCACAACTATCATGTATTTTGACCAAGTCACCTAATATGCCTCTTGGGCTTATCGCTAGATGAAAACTAGAAGAAAGAAAGAAAAAAAAAAAAAGAAAAGCAATCAGAGACTACATCAATAGGACAGTACAGGATCAATATTGCTTACCCCTGAGTTAACAGGATTGGGTGTAGCAGCACCAATTAGAAAACATTCTGCAATGCCAGCACTGCACTGTGGTCCTATGCTGTGGTATAGTTCCATATGCCCACAGATTTTTCTTTAAGAGCACTTATTTCAAACATTATTAGACACAGGAATACCTTTAGTTGCATTGGTATGTAAGTGGAAAACCCAGTGAAAACCGTATAGTGGGCTATACTATTAGTACAGTCCTTCTGTAGTGTTAATATACTATACAGAGCGGTGTTCCAAAAGTGGTAAGCCACTGCTTTCTGTGAAACTACATTTGCCTTTTGTTTTCTGCACAAAAAAAACCCTGTAGAAATCATGTTGTGCCAGTTTTGAGCAAGATGTCCTGTAAGTCATCTGGAAGTGCTAGTATAATATCATTGATGTGTGTCTGCAGCTTTTTCAGTGTGTCAGTTTTCACAGGAAGCTGTTCTCTGTCAGCCTGCAACTGCAAAGGTACAATATAACATCATTTCTACTAAAAATGCAAGTTTACCTTAACACACACCAAAGTGACATTAGTGAATCTGGAAAATGAATTCCTCATTTGCCAACCGAGTAGGAATTTGGACAATAGCAGGTTTCCTCAACAACCACACAATAGCATGAGCTAACACTGATTTGGACTTTCAGTAATCACAAGGAAGTTTGGTTTTCTGCTTCCCTAAGGATTCAGCCTTGCTCCCACTCATCATCAGTCACAAAGTTCCAACTAGTTTTAAAAAAACAAGGTTAGTGCAATGCTTCCAACATAGCTGGATGAGGTTAGGAAGCTAGCTAACTCTTCAGTCATGGCTGGAATGAACTGGTTTTGTTTTAAAAACCTTCATGACAGACTCCTTGAGCTACCTAGATCTTGAAGAATATTTTCATTTAAGTACCTGTAAACCCAACTACGTAATACTTTTATCTAGTTAAGACGGGCAAATTTGAGCCGTTCAATTCAGTGACTTACCAGTTTATTCTTTAACTTTAAGACGAGATCGACCGTTTCTACTTCAGTATGCTTTTGACTCCAGAAAACCAAGTTCTAAAAGAGTAAAAATTAAGCATTGAAATATTTATGGCAACACATATAATTTTCAGAAGTAGTATTAATTCACACCTGCTGTTCATAATGGGTCTTCTCCTTTTCCTTGTTCTCATGCCATTTACTAAACTCATTTTACTCATGTACTGTCTCTACTGTGAGCTGCAAAATCTGCTTTATTTGTATGTTTGCCCAGGACTTACTGAAACAGGAGACCAGGACAGAAATGAAAAAAACAAACAAACCATGCCAAACAGGCTTAGTGTCGAAAATACATCTGCAATGCAAAAAGGCAGTGAATGTTTACCAAATCAGATCTGCAAGGACCATGAAATGCTACAATAGTGCCAGGCAGCACTTCTTGTTTCTAGGGCATTAAAGGAGATCACATAGTCGGTAACTAGTAAAATACGTTCATTAAGTGAATTTTCTTACGGAAGTTTTGTTCCCCTACCCCTTTACTATTCACCTGTTAAAGACATTTCCTCATGTACAGAAAGATGTTAACACTTACATCAAAAGAAATTTTTTTTCAATAAGTTAATGTCAAATATCGTTGGACAGACTTGAGATAAATGACCTAGCCATTGCTCTGCAAATTATTTGGGCCACTCTACAAGAACAATCTATTTTACAATGTACTGTTTGGGAACTGACAAGGCAAGATATGAAAATCAATGGCTTTTTAAAAATAACCAGTGCAATTTTTTTGTTTGTTTTAAAGCTGTGGTGTTGACTTATTTTTTTGTTCTTCCTCTTCCCTCTTTAGCTGTACAATCTCTTCTTCTTATGATACCTTTCCTTATCAGTTATTCCGGCTCAAATTATACCAATATCCACTTCAGCTTAAGTAAAAATGGATCTTACAACATCAGATAATTTATGTGGCATTTTGTTATGTATCAATACACAGATTTTACTTCTCAGCTTCCAATTACTATGGATCAGTTGTAGGCTTATTTACTATCCCTATCTAGTTAGTTGTCAATCTTCTATGGTACTCACTCAGTTTGTACCTTCAACGCTACAGACTATATCACAACTAAAAATGTGTTGGAATGCCAAGAAAGGAAGTGAATGAAATAACATTATCGAATAAGAGAAAAAAAAATTTTTAGAGGAAGGGGGAAATATTCCATTTCAAAATATACAACAAAACAAAAAAGGACTAAAGACGCATTTTACAAATGATGACAGTCGTTACAAAAAAAGTGTACTCTATTTCATATTGTTCTTTTTTGCTATCTTAGTTCAAACTTGTACTTGGTTAATAAATTCATGTTTTGCTAGATCAGACTTGACAAAATTGTTAACATTTTTATGTTCAACCAATGAAAACAGCAGGAGTAAAACTGACCTGAGGGAGAATATATTTTATTACAAGATGATAAATAAGCACGCGTTTTTCTAACCTCATTACAGAGTGCTTCTAAATGAAGGGCCTCCAATTTCTGTGTCATTTCTTTCTGCCGGCTCCTAAACCAACCGTCGAAGTTGGACGATTTCAAAAAATGCCTGGTAAAACACCAAAGCAAAATACATTTTATATTTTAATTACAATTTTGATAACACTGTTTTCTACATCATCAAATGTAAAGTAATTGTGTTTGAGGTTGAAGAAGATATTAGGACTCTTTATCTGTTTACTTTCCAAAAAATTTAATATTGTGGAGTATAACAGGTGCTTCTATTAATCAAGACAAGAATCAAGAAAACGATGTCAAGAAAAATGGTCTGAAAGACAATAAGAATTAGTAATTTTGTCAGGAAAAAAAACAAGGCTCAGTATGAAAGATCCTCATTTTTATCTTTGTGTTTGATTGGAAGGAGGAATCAAGTTAGAACAAGAAATAAAACCACAAATACTACTGATATAGAGAGACCTGTAGTGTTAGTATCATCTTAGGAAAACCGTGAACAGGTTACAAAGAAACAGATTTAAGCGAGTGAAGTATACTAATTACTATCAACTCCTACTAAACCATATATTCTAAAAGTAAGTCTTACTCAAATCAATATTGATAATAAGTTTGCTCAGGAAAAGAGCGTTTGTCTTACTATTTGTCTTCATTTATATAATTTAATATTTTACGCTGATCTAAGAAATGACCTGTAAAGTCCTATCCAGTCTCCTTTTAGACCTGATGTGAGCTGTGGTCCTGCTTTTTCCAGTGTCTTCATGAAGTCATCTTGGCTAAACTGCCTCAGCTGTGGTGGACTCTATGGAAAGAAAAAAAAATTTACTAGCATACCATATCTATTTCTCTAATCATCGATTTCCAGCTCATTCCAATTATATTTCCTTACCTTCCATGGTGATATGCATTTTTGCAAAGGCATTAGGCTTGCCACATAACGTTCCTAGGGAAAGGAAAAAGAAAGGTTGTTTGCATAACCAGTATTAAAGATACACAGTCCACGTGTATGTTTACTTATCACTTGTGACCACAGCATTTTCTCTTCTCAGTATTGGCACAGGGTGGGGTCATGCATATTTACCACATGAGAACATAAGAAGGAGCTTATCTAATACCATTTGTATTTCCCAACTACAGAACTTCATGTAAGCAAGATTCAAGAAGGACACGAGAGAAAAGAGGGCAAGAAGCAAACATATACATGGAATATATATATCCTGAACTCCAGCCACTAGTAAATAGTCTCTCTTTTCTTTGGTGACAGTCCACAGGTACCTTCACATAGTAATCTCACTTTGTATCAAGGATTTGGAAGTGATTTTCAGAATTCCTCATACAAACATTAAATACAGAACTAACCTACAAAACGCTGTATCAGCTGTGGGCATCTCTGCAGTAGCAATGCCTGGCAAAGGCACAGCTAGAGCCCCAACGGGCTAGCCAACGTGTGAGGTGTGGAGACATTTCGCAGCAAAGTCGCTGCTGAAGCTTAAGATCTGACAACAGGCGGCAGCCCTGCCTTGCCAGCTCACACAAGCACATTAATATAAGCTGCTATACATTTTGAAAGTGCTTGTACACAAATGGCCAAACATTTTGATCTGTGAACATAATCAGCTTCAATGACACTATGGAAAGTCTAGTTCAATCTTTTGAAAAAACAAAGGATCTCTCCCCCCATACACTTTTCTTGTGGCAGAGAATGTAAAGTGTGATCTCAACCTGTAAATTTAAGATTTATGACAGAAAACATATTAAGTTTCTTGCTTCAAGTGGAAGTTTGAGCAAGATGGGAGGAATGCCAGGGAAAGGTTTTAGTTTCACCCTATATGTCTGTCTTGTCTCAAAAGAACAGGAGAGAAAGAGAAATTTTAAGGAAAATCGCCTCTAAATCCAAGGAGAAACAAATGTCTAGGGATTTCCCAATTCTTGCAGACAGAAGTCGGACCTGATCATGAATGCTCTAAAATGATGAGAAGTTCAGGTCATCCAGAAAAAGTGTTCAGAGAGCTCGGAATGGGGCAACTGATATGTAAACATCCAATGCCTGGGTATCACTTCCCAATTTTAACCACTTGCCCAGAGAAATAACTTCACACAGTCAAGTCCATCATAACTCAGACTTCATATCTCCAAATGCTAGGTAAGAGCATATTAAAACGTATTTATCATTATCCTAATGCACAAATTAGAAAACAGATGAGAAATTCTCATTTTAGTGCAAGTCAAAGCCTACACATCTGCATGGATTCAGTCACCTAAACACAATATCCATCTGTCAGCATAAAGGTATGTCAGGAGTCTGCAAACACTACAGCAGGATTTCAATATACAGCAGAAGTAAGTTTTTACTATTACACTAGATACAAATTACCATTTTAAAATTTGTTTCAGCAAATTGAGATCTCTGTCCGGAAGGTAAAAAATAAATCCATGAACATTAAGCATTCCAAACAAACTCTGCTGATTGGTTGGAAATGAGACAAAATTTCACCCCTGACTTTGGCTTAGAGATTTGAACAGGTGAAGTACCATGTTTAGAGAGCAAAACACTTGATATCTGCCATTTCCAGAATAGCATGATGCTGTACAATAAAATACTCTGATCCACTGAAAAACTATTCTCCGTGTGACGTCCTGATATAAAGTAGATGTATCTCAACGTTCAGTGATAATCTCTCCTTTGGAAAACTGTAATGGCATCTTCTAGAGTCTCCTGAATTTTCAGAGTTTCCTCAGAATCTCTTTTATCACACCCAAACCCAGAAGAAAGTACCACTTGATAAAGCAAACTCTTGTGAAAATCATTCTTTTATAGGAAGA